AAAAAAAATTTAAAAATTAATTTTTTTTTTTTTTTTTTTTTTTTTTTTTTTTTTTTTAATATGTAAAAAATGCTGAAAGTTTTCTGTGACAAGTAGGTTTAGGGGACAGAATATACAATTTGTACAGTATAAAAACCATTATGCCTATAGGAAGTCCCCATAAAACATGGAAACTAGTGTTTGTGTGTGTTGTTAAGGTGCATGCTGTGTTCTACCATTACACAGGATTTTGATTTGAAAATTACTAAAAGTAAAAAGCAGTAAACAATCTGTAACAAATAACCGTAAGCATAAACATTCTTTTTTTTAAATATATATTTGTGGTATTTTATGTTTGTGTGTGTGTGTGTGTGTGTGTGTGGTATAGAGTTGAGTATGTTGTTTACATAATGTTTGTGGTGTTGTATGCTTGTGTGTTTGAGTGCAGTGAAGTGCTGAGTATGTAATGTGTGGTGTTGTGTTGTATGCTTGTTGACTTGCATGTGTGAGTTGTGCAATGTTCTGTGGCATTAAAATACATTTGCAGTATTAACAAGACACTTAAGTATTAAAAAATAAATGTCACCATATTGTTATTCAAAGTTACCCCTTATTTACACTGCACGCGTCAGCGGCGTGTTACGGCTCAGATAAGGTTTTGTTCCATCCTCCACATGGTGCCAACTCGCGCCAGGAGCATTTCAGACGCGAAGCGACAGGATTCGCTAGACCACGTGATTTGCCTGTCCGGTTTTTTGTTTGTTTGTGTTCTAATATGGTTGGTTAAAGGGGTCATATGATGCTGCTAAAAAGAACATTATTTCTTCATCCACGGTAAAAGCCGATCCGGCGATCCACAGCGCGAAGTTAAAGTATTTCAAGTAAGCGATATCGTCCTCTTTTGGAAGGCCAAACAAAGTAGTTTCGCTTTCACAACGAAGCACACAGCGCCTTCACGACATGGCGGCGGCAACAATACTACAGCGAGAATAAAAGTTACACCTTCTTTCTTTGCGTGAACATTTGGGCGGCGTTATGCAAATCTTCCCACATCGTGACGTAGATATGTGGGGACGTGTTAGAACGAGTCGTTTTAGGTAGGTGTGGCTGACTCTTAACTTTTATAAAGAATATCTCTTTGGATTTGAGACTTTAGTCTTTGCAACTTTACAGATCTTCTTTATGCACCAAGAGCTTATAACACTTCAAAGAGAAAGGAAAAATTGAAATCGCGTCATATGACCCCCTTTAAATGTTTTTGTCTGGTTTAATTCTGTTTATTCCGCTCTTACAACTCCTGCAATTAAACTCCACACCTTGTCCTTTTTGGAATTGTCCTTGTAAAAAGGATGTGTTCATTTTGAAATTAACAGGATTTTGTGACTTTTATTTTGCATTTTCTGTGCGGTTTGGATGCAGCATCTGTCAAAAATAGACTAGGCACCTATCTTTAGCGAAGTAGCACAGAAAGCCGCTTCTGAAACTTTCCGTGGCACAGCTTGTGTAACACAAGCATTGACTAGAGTGGCCGTAGTCAGCTCCGGTGGATGCGTTGCAGACGTGTGCAGTGTAAATCGGGGGTTAGAAGTGTTGCAATCAAGTCAAGCAGGATTTTCTGAAAAAAAATAATAATCAAATGTATACCTCAGTGGCTTGGGGTAACTCAGTTTTACAGGATACATCAGGTCAAGAAGGGCAACACAACACATGCATTGCAACACTGGACAATCCTATCAGAACCTCAACACCTTTCAATAAAGAACTGCCATCTGGAGAGCCCCCTTGTAGGGTCTTCTTGGGCTATTTCCCGATCAGTGTCCTATAACACAAAACAATAAAATAATAAAATGCATATTGTGCTTTTTTGGTTGTTTGTTCATTAAGGGGGTAAAAATGCAAAAAGACAACAAAATATGTCAGACTCAACTTTAAAACATGTATAAAGCTCACTGATGGAGACATCCAAGCAGTCATTAATCTAAATCATTCAACCAAACAAACAAAAAAAACTTTTTATTTAAGATTAGTCATTATATTTTCAAATTAGCACTTCCCACTTAATATAAAAGTAATTTCAAAGTGAACAACACAAAATGTACCATATTCACTCACCTGGTAATGTGGTAATCAGATTGTCAGTGTTCTCTGATAGGAAGACAATCAAGCTGTGATCCTGAGTACAAACAGAAATAGAAATTCATGTTAATATTAAAAATAAAATAAAATGCATGACACCGTAATGCCAGTGAACATCTAAGATTTAAAGGGGTCATATGATGTTGCTAAAAATAACATTATTTGGTGTAATGAAATGTGTTTATGCGGTTTAAGGTTCAAAAAACTATATTTTCCACATACTGTACATTATTGTTTCTCCTCTATGCCCCGCCTTTCTGTAGATTTTTACAAAGCTCATCGGTCAGAAAAGCGAGGTGTGCTCTGATTGGCCAGCTATCCAGTGCGTTGTGATTGGCCGAATACCTCAAGCGTGTGATGGAACAGTGTTGTAAATACAACTTAACCGCTGATTTGTAGTCGTGTCCTCTTTTGGAAGGCCAAACAAAGTAGTTTCACTTTCACAACGAAACACAGCGTCACACACGGCGTGCTTGAGTGAGCGGCGGTCGGCGGATTCGGCGAAGGAGCGTCAGGAGGGCTTGCGGCAATCACATGTGACGACCCCGAGCTGGACTCCGCTTCGTCCAC